TCATGTTCAGTCGACCATGGAGGACATTGCCTACACGAAAGATACCTGCTCAGCGTGCTTTACAAGCTCTTTACGAAGACTCGCTCGCATATCAAGGACACTGAGTGAAGCCCAACCTGTAGAACAAGCTGTCGCCAGGGATTCAGCTGCGTGGATCCATCCAGACAATTTCAAGGATTACCGAAGTTTGCCGAGAAAACCGCCTACCTCTCGTGCTAACCTTCGTTGGCTATGAAAAGGCGTTTGACAGCGTCGAGACTATGCCATACTGTCAGCGCTCGTCGACCAAGTGGTGGACCCATGTTACGTGCTTACATTGGCCGACTGCTACAGGAACTGCTCTACAACGGAACAGCTTTTCCATGCCCCCTTAACATAGCAATTTCGAGGGGTACGACAAGGCGACACCGTGCGGGTGATAAAGTCACTAGATTGGAATAAGAGAGGTTACGAGTTGATGGGAGATTCCTCTCGAACCTTCGTTCTGCAGACGACATTGTTCTCTTCTCGAGGAATACCACTGAAGCGGAGACGATGTTGAGGGAACTAAACGAAGTGGGGAAGCGAAGGACTGTGAATTAACTGGAAGAAGACTTAATTCATGAAGACGCTTTTTACGAGGATCAGGAAATGGAATTAGAAGACCAACTACGGACCCAGGGTTGCAAGCCCAGCTGTTCGAGTCAACCGTTCTTCCTGCGCTCTGTTGCGCAGCAGAGGCGTGGCCTGGCGCTGTGAGTCGAAGGCACTTCGAACAACCCATTGAGCGCTGGAGCGACGTCTTTTGAAGTACAACTGACGCATCCAACATCTCATCAGACTTCGCAGTTCAGATATGAGATCAGTCTCGTCTTCGCGATCCAGCGGAATACGTTTCTAAGGCAAAGCACCGATGGGCCCATATAATGAGAAGGACGAACGACAGATGGACGCTAAGTCTCTGGAATGGTTTCCTCGCGAAGAAAACGTCCTTGAAGGAGGCCACCGATTAGGAGTGGAATGTATCAATCTTCCTGTCGGTATGGGGTGCGTATTTATAGTAGAATATCAGCTCCCTATCTTAGATGGGGAGCTAAATTTTTATTGTAAAGGCGCGCCCGATCTTTGACAGAGAGATTAATACATTCTACCCCAGATGAGCTGACGTTTTCCTTGCACGGATGGAACAGTTGAATTCCAGCTGTAACGAGTAACAGATCTGGACCTCGCGAACGTCGCCACCGCAGATACCAACATCGTGGATGATGCTAGCGAAAGACAGAAACGGATGGAAACAGTGCTGTGGTCTGCACGACAAGTGAAGACACCTTCTAAGTATCTAAGTAACTAAGTAAGTTTTGGAGAGACTGGACTTTGAAGCATGGAAAGCAGTACTAATGAAGTTGGTACGTGAGATCGCGAAAACCACCCACAGCATTAAAAGCTAATTAACAAAAATCTTCTTATAATTAGTTTGGTAGAAAGACGATAAGTATCATCTATCACAAAGCAATCGTTACGGAACCCCGTTTTTGGCTACTAAGACCAGCTCCCTCTCCTTCGGAAAGGCTCATATTGTTATTTTTGCAAATCGCTAGAAATGAAAACAGTTAAGGCGAAAACCAAGAGAGTTCTTCTACAGCTATGCATTCAAACTTTTAGTTTCTTAGACACCATCGTGATACGGAATAGCGCGATATTCCGTGTCACGATTGTGTCTAAGAAACTAATGAGCAGTCAATCTTGCATGAATTTGAAGTTTTCTGATGTTAAAAAAAAGGCTGAGGTATAATTTGGCAATAAAAGGAATCCTTTGGCATAGATTTCTCTTGAAAGGAACGCTGTGTGCATTGTAGGGAAAGCAATTTGTAAGCAGAAAGTAAGTGTATAACAATTGGAGAGTTAGAATCAGGAATTAAAATGGGTTTTGTGGGCTACATATTATAATAATTCGCACTTTACCGCTATCAAACTTCTAAGAGATCACTAGACTTTTCAAAAAAAAAAGCGCGAACTGAGTTGTTATGTCCTGATTTGGTTGTGAGTATCAATACTCCAGCCCATAATCTTTGCGCTAAAGTCTTCAAAAATATATTTGTGCAAAATTCCAATTTGACGATCTTTCATTTTAAAAAGCCAATCTCAAATCACCTCTGTTGGTTCTGCCTCTAGTGCTCGAATACTGAAAAGGGAAAAAGTGCGTGTCACACGCAAATTATAGCAAATGGTATGCCTAAGATATCATGAATTGCTGATTATTAATTGTCGAAAATGACTTATCATCATCACCGTCTTGTAT